CACACACACACACACACACACACACACACACACACACACACACACACACACACACCCTTTGTCTGCTCTTTGGAGCTCATCATTCAAAGTCATCAGAAAACAGTTAAGCCCTCAGAACAGAGTCCTTCAAATTAAAAGCACCTCCAACTAAGGACTGTTTCATTCTTCTGCTGCTTTTACTAACAAACAAATTAACATTTTTTTGTAACCTGTCTCTGTTAGTCTCATTTAGAACTAAAATGTTTTTTTCCTGTATATTTTTATTATTATGTGTGAAATGGTCGGATGCAAATTAAAGTGTTTTTTTTTTCTTTTTAATTTCAATGATTTACCACTTGGAACAAAATGTGTCCAAAGAGGCCTAGTTCAGGGGATGAGGCCTGTGTGTCTCATTGTAAAAACTGGACACATTTTGCCATCTGTAGGACCATCACAGCATTACACTCTTCACTTTGTCTATAGCTGGTAAAATGCATCATTCATCTGTAAACAATAAGCTTAGGCTAAGAGCTTAAATGTTTATGCTTTTTCTAAAAAAAAAAAATAATAATAAAAGGAAGAAGTAGAGAATTCTTTTTGTTATTGTTCGTAGCTTGCTCTTTTAAGAATGTGGTGATGGTGAACATCCAGATGTGCAAGCACACTCTGCACACTAGGTGTCAGGCTGCCGCTGCATTACGCTGCAAACTCTGCACATGTGGAGCCTGGGAAGAAAGAAAAGAAAAAAATCCACACCCCACTGTTCATTTAGCTTTCACCTGCTCTCAGTTATAAATACACCCGGTGTGTCACACTGGGATGAGGAGCAGGCTGAGAAGCAGGTCTAAATGCATTCTGTTAGCCTCTTGTGTGAAATGTCATTAATCATGTGTGGAATCTGGGAAAACGGTGCACCTTACGGCTCGTTACAGGAGGGTTTGTCCCATGCAGCTGCGAGGCCCCAGACTGTAACAATGGACGCAGCAGGAAACACTGTCCCTACAATAACTGATGGTTACAAGACCTGAAAGCCACTGAGGACATTATGTCTGTTTTTGTGGTTTTGAGGAATCCTTAGTTTATATTCCACCGACTCTAAGCTCGGCTCTAAAACCTTCTCATCAGCAGAGCGCTCAAACGTGTTCAGAATGAAAATGTTTAGTTGATAATATTTCTTTTTTGGTTTGCTCAGGGTAATGGTTCAGCAAATCCGGATGGTTTCCACACTGATTCTTGGCCTGTTGATGGGCATTTTTGGAATTCTGCAAATCATCCCAGAGTGGATGCGATCCCAGCGTAGCAGATCTGATCCTCTCTGAGCCCTAAAGACCGAGAGCAGCCAAATTATTTCAGCAGAAATATGCACTCTTGGCTTTATTTTGTCAGTATCTAATTTAGATCTGATAATATTTATCCAGCTCTAGGTGTGTGTGTGAATTTACTCTTTTGTGCATGAGAAAATAATGATTGGATTGACTGAGATGTTCACATGCAAAAGTAAATTTACCTTGAAAGCAATCATTTCAACGGAGATTTGTTTGGATTGTTTTTAAAAAAAATGAAGCCTTCCTCGCACATATTCACCTCCTCTGAGCATTTCTTTTTTTTTTTTCTTTCACGCCTGGGACTTGCACTCTTGTACCTGAGTGTTACTGCCATGGAATGTACCATAATGGGCACTGACAACGGTTTAATGAGTGCATGTGCACCCAGGGCCAAATGCAATTACATGCTCTCACAGGCAACCACCGAAAAAGAGAGGCAGCTGTTTGCAGCCGTGCACCGGGGAGGGTCATGCGGTTAACTGTATTTGCAGGACATGTGGAGAGGGAGCGAGAGGGAAGAAAAAAGTGGGGGGGAAGACATAGAAAGAGGGGAAGAGGTTAAAGTCATCATGTGCAAGATAGCAGAGCAGCATCTGTCAGCACTGGCAGGATACCATACCTCCCTGTGTTTGACTCACTTTCACCAGAGTGGGCCTCCAGTTGGTAAATATGTTTGTGCAGGATGTGCACAAGTGTGGGAACAAACACACATACACACCAAAAAAAAAAAAAGGAAGGGGAGGTGGTTTGCAGAGTTTGCACACTTTTAAAAACAGACGTTTCCACGTGTAAAACACTAAGTTCGTGTCTAAATAAAACATTTGCTTGTCAGAGGCAGCTTAATTGCAAGAGTTGCAAAGAAAAAGAGGGGCGAGCGGAGAACTCCACACCGCTGGATGCTTTCTTGCATTTTCCAACTTAATCCTCAAATTTATCAGACCTCTCTCAGCTCTGCCTGGAGCCACATAAAGTATTTATTCAACCTTTTTGCACATCTGTAGTACGGCTCTTCAGGATGAGTTCACCGTGAATTTTTAGAGTTTAATTTGCAAAGCAAACCTGCTAATCTGAGCTAAAATAACATTTCAGGTCTTTTTTTGCTGCTTTTGTGCCACGTTTTATAACTGATTTCAGTGCATAAAACAACTTATATACTGTAGTATTTTATCCTAAAGGGACATTTGTTAACCAAATAACTACACAACGTCCGAATACTCCTGAGACATTATAAATACTCAGAACTATCACAAATATAACAAGTCATCAGTGGACATTCCTGGGTTAAAAAACCTGTCAAGTCCACACCTTACAAGGCAGAGCCTGCACTCCGCTGTCTGCTCTGACAAGTCAATAAAACCCACTGGTATGCTGAACTTTTTTTTGGAAGGCAGGATGGATGCGAGACTGGAATTTGATCAGGCAGAGAGCCAGCCTGCTGTTCATTACAGCAGAAACACACCTTTGTGGCACGTGCACCTCAAACCCGAGGTGAAAACTGCTATTGACTTTGTGGAGCCCGCACCCAGCCTTGGCCTGTTTTTTTTTTGTATTTATGTCCCATGTGTGTGTCCACACCCACACATGCAACATGCAACACACAAACACATCGTTTTCTGATTGTTTCAAGTTCTTCCAAGTTGCGCTGGGAGGAACAGCAGGAGAGTGGAAAATATGAAGGCTTCAAAATCCAGGGCAGATGTCAAACAAATGGGCACGGAGGCGAAGAGAGACAATGAGGCTTAAACTGTTTTTCATCGATTGGTTTTAGGAAAATACAGCGCTTTATTACAGTAAACTTCACCCATCACTCACGTTTCAGACACTTTAGTTCAAACGTAAATGCTTTTTCCTTTACTGTTGTTTTTTCACCTGTTGATAAGAAGAAAAAAGCTACAGTTTTCTCACTTTTCCAGAGCAAAAACCCCTGCTGATTTTTGTAGACCAGGGGTGTTAAACTTAAGGGGCCCAAAAAAAATAAAAATTAAAACCCAAACTTGGTCCAAACCAAAATATCTGTCAATATTTATCAAAGAAAGGTTATATAACAAATTAATCTTATAGAAAAACCAATAACATTTTTCAGAATTAGATTTTATTTAAAATTTAGCATACACTGTACATCGGGGTTGTCAAACTTTTTGGTTCTGGGGACCCCTTGCAAGGATGAGAAATTACCAGGGAACCCCCTCATAAACCCCTAAATGCCATGAGAATATTTTTTGATTTGGTTTAGTATGTTTGTTAGTACATTGTTCTTCATAAGCTTTTTTTAAAAATAAAAACCAAATTCACAATTTATTGAAATTTTTAAGGACCCTCCCAAGATACAGCTCGTGGACCCCTGGGGGTCCTGGGACACCAGTTTGAGAACCTAATCTAAAAAAAAACCAACAAAGAAAAAACACAATTACTTTAGAAAGACAACATCATAGCATTAATTTGCCATGCCTTACTCTATGAACAACGTTTTTACTCATTATTTCTTAGAGATACATTTTATCACAATCCAACAAATCTGGTAAAATAAAAAAAAAAAAAAATCCAATAAGAAAAGAACACAGCAAAAGATAATTAAAGTCTATTCTTAGTTACTTTTTTTCCATGCCAAAATCAAAGATAACTGAAAACTTCAAACATAATTTTCTTGGCTTGAAAGTTGACCAACTGTCATGAGAAGAATGCACTAAATACAGAAAAAAAAAAAGATACCAGAAAATTATTCCACATATGGGGCCAGATAAAATGTTGAGAAGGGCCAAATTTGGCCCATGGGCCTTGAGATTGACACATCTGTTGTAGATCTTTTACATGTTAACTTTAGGTGGGCCAGGGCTGCAAAAACTTTACTACTTTAAAGGTGAGTAAACTGTAATACCTGAAGAAAACCCACCTGGAACCAGGATCTCTTTGTTAAATGAACACTTTCACTCACAAAGACTTATCTGAAGCCAAAAGGGTGCATTCCAGCTCCAAACTGTTTCCTTTTATTCACCCAGACGCTAATGATAATAAACCCTTTCCAGTGCCGATTAGAAATATCAGCCCTCTCCCTGTTATGAACTTGTAACATAAGAGGAAATGCCATTTAGTGTTGCCGTACTGGAGGGATAATTATTAACTCTGTATATCACATTTTCCTTGTAATTATATCATAATTCAAAGGCTTTCCTTCCTGGTGCTCTAAAAGTCTGGTACGTCATCATAACCCCCCCCCCCCTTTTTTTTTTTGAGAACTGGGCCTAATTATTGTTAGGTTATAAGAACGTTTACAACACCCCGAGGGCTCGTCTCACAGTTACTGCTTCAAACTATAATTAGAGAATATAATCTAACAGGTATGGACCTCCAGGATTTATATTGCAGCTCGACTGAAGGCTGATTGAAACAACACCTAAAGGTGAATATCAAGTGTTGAGATTTTACAACCTGGCTCGTGTTCAGCAGCCACATACAGTGGCTGCAGGGGTGACAACTGACAGACTCAGACACATCGATTCTGCTCGGTGGTTTGACGTGTGTGTTCTTATTAGCTCAGGCAGCTCTGTTGTGCATCATTCTGTAAATATATATTTGTGACTTCATCCCATGATGCCTTGAATGCCGGACAGTGAACTCTGCTTTTCCTCTAATAAGTGTAACCTTGCTGCGTTAAAAATGTACATCCCTTCACGTGTTGTGGAGAACATGACACATATTAATCTGTTCACGCTGTCTTTAGATGTGAGCTGATGAGCTCAAAGTGCCCAAGCTGGGCATTGATTTGAAAGAAATCAGCTCTTCGTGGCATAAATTGCACAACATGTTGAACACACTCTGCTCTGCGTGAGCGTGATTGCGTCACAGAATTTCTGCAAGGTTTCATTTAATCTGCAACTTCCAAATGATCGGGATGACCGAGGAGGCCAGTTCACCTCTGCGAATGGATGATTTACTGGAAGTTTCCAAAGAAAATCTGTGACATTAAAGGGAGTATTGTGCAAAATCACATTTTTTGAGCTTTATACCACGTTATGATGTCATTCTCTCATTAAAAATATAGTCAGAGTGTCGTTTTGACTCATTCAGACATGTTTGAGAAATCCTTCAATCTTCTTGTAGCCATGTGGAGCTGCCTAAACACTTACTGGTACAAAGCACCGCCTATTTACACAAAGCTCCTCCCTGGAGCTCAGTCTGCAGCTGAGCTGTCGCCAGCGCCCCTCCTCTGTAGCACTGTTGCGAAGACATGCTAAAGTGGGAGTGTCGGAAAGGGTAGGAGGTTCTTAAAGAGACAGAGGCCAATTTTAAGACTTTTTGATTGGCTGTGATGCAAAGTCAAATTTATTTTTGATACATACAGCATTTTCATAAGAACTTAAGGTAACATAGTAACTTCATTGTGGTATAGATTTGAATCATGCCTGGAAAATATATAATATAATACCCCACCCCAGTTTTTTTTTTAAGTGAATGGCTGTTTTTGTCAAAGGGCAATGCTAAGATGTGAACAGCCTGCAGCCCCTTTAACAACGTGGACTGCTCCAATAGGGTTCAACAATTCAGAAACAAATACATTTTCACGATGTTAACGATTCTTTTGCATCTCAGATAACTCGTAAAGTATTAAACTACAATTTATTTTAAAAAAAATGGTGATTCCTTCATAGAAATATTGCACAGGACTTGGTGAACTTTGGAAACTTTCTTCCTTTTTAGTGATCTTGAGCCAACAACTCTATTCAATAAATGTATCAGTGATTAATGAGACATCTCGCTATATGCAGGGAGATTAAGATAATTATCCCCAATATTATCCTGAGTGGAATACTAATCAAGAGGAATCTGAAAATGGTGCTTTTCTTCAGACGTTTCTGGACTGAGAGGTTGTGTGTGTTTGTGTGTGTGTGTGTGTGTGTGTGTGTG